TGGTTTAAACTTGCACCAACATGTCAACTAAGAAACCAATAGGAAATAGAGAGTAGAATAGACTAAAAATTTCAAAAGGCAACTAATTATGTAATAGAATTTGAATTTGACCATTAGCAAATGAATATTAATTATAATTACTATTTAAATTTGTACCGTTACTATTTTTATACTTTAATGATCAATTATTTTTTTTATACAGTTGTTGGAAATGACTCTCTAAGAGATTTTAATTTTTTTTCACAAAAAAAAATGCATTAACTGAACATTGAATAGCTTAGATTTAAAAAAAAAATACTATTTTTCAAACATTAATTTCATAACTGTAATTGATTTATAACTATTTTTCTATTTTCAAAGATACTTTGTAATTAGGGTCACTTTTATTTTGCTTCTCCTAGTTTTCATGTTATTTATTTTAATTTAGTATAAATCTTGGTCATATTGAGTTCTGGGTTATTTCAGATGTACAGGAAGTTCTACTTTCGGCTGGTAGTTTTTCCAAAAGTTTGGATGGTTATGATAATGAAGCAATATTGCTTCACTGCTTCCAACGGCAGAGGCTAAGACATGTATGGAGTCATTCAAGGAGGGAGCCACTCCCATTGTGACATTAAATAGCTCAATTTTAAAGTTGTTTCGTATTTGAAATTCAATTCTAAAAACTGTTTTCTAAGTCAATAATTTAAAATTCATGAGTTTAATGATGAATTTTTCTATATTTAAAGTTCTTACTCTTCTTGTACTTAAATGATTAATTATTTTTTATACAACAATTAGAACGTTTCAAATTTATTAAATTTAATTTAATATGAAAGGACTCTTTAAGTCTTCTCTGGTTTTTTTTTTAAATAATAATAAGAATGCTAAACATTGAATAGCTTTATTTTAAAAATACAATTTTTCGAACTTTAATTTCATAACTGTTTCCTATTAGTTTTCTATTGTAATAGAAATTTGAAAATAGAATAATCATACTAAAAATTTAAATTTTTAAACTGTATTTGAAATTCAATTCTAAAAATCATTATCTAAGTCAATAATTCAAAATGTATTAGTTTAATGGTGAAAGTTTTTATATTCTAATTAAATTAATTTATATATTAAATTAAACATGTATAAAGTTTAATGGATATTTATGATTATTACAAGTTTGAATTAATACAAATTTGAAAATAGAATAATCATTCTAAAAATTCAAATTTTTAAACCGTTTCTTATTTGAAATTCAATTCAAAAAATTGTTATCTAAGTCAATAATTCAAAATGATGGCATATCTATTTTTAAAATGTTTTACATGCATGTATATTGAATTGAGGTATAATCAAGTATGGTTTGGATAGAATTTTATGAAATCGATATAATTATTTTAACTCTAAACATTGAATTTTTAAATATCATAATCAAATCTTAAAAGTATCGACTCCAAAACATATTCATTAAATTAGAAAGTAGTAACAAACTAAAACAGATTGAGCATTTCTAACAACAACAACTCTGCATGAAAAATAAAATAACTGACGTCTCTTTCCTCTCATTCCAAATTAATCTCCCAATTTGGCACGTTTGAGATTTTCTTTATTTTGGTTCAAACAATTTTCAAAATTTTTCCCATGCCATTGAACCAACTGTACAAATTTCTTGAACAATAATCTGCTTTCCTGCCCGATCACGCTCTCTCTCTCTATCCATTCGTACCAAAAAATAATACTTCTTATCTTCTGCCAACACCAATTTCTGATAACACTTGCTTTTTTCCTTTTTCGTTTCTTGGAACATTGAAGTTTAGTTTTATTTTTGTAAAAGAAAAAAAAAAGAAGAAAACTTTGTACCGATTACCTTCAAATCATTGAAATATTCCGCTGCACTACATTCGATCAAATATTCAGCACCATCAAATAACAATATGCAGTAGAATCATAATCTCTAGGATGTAGCCTTTCATTGCATGTCTTGCATTTTTCAAACCACAGATTGTCCTTGTTTTGAATCTTTACAATTCTTCCAATAAAACAACAACAAAGATCTTCAACTTTTCCTTTTATAATGTCGTTCAATGCTGTTTCTTTTGCTTCTACCGACTTTTTTGATGGATGTAAAAGATCTCTGAGTTTTTGATCTCTAGAAAGACTTTGCATCCTAAAAAAATTATTTAAAAAACTAAAAAAAAAATGTAAACCAACCACATATATATATATATATATATTTTTAAATTAAGATCTTCAAATTTTTGTTCTTTAGAAAATTGATTAAATAAGTATTATTAGTAATAAGATTTACAATTGTACGAAATTAAATTATGCAATAAGTAAAAGACTTTACCTTCGTAGACACTTTCTTTTATGTTTGTGATAAGAATTACATTATTTCCACCGCAATTTTCTTCTAAGAACTGTCCTTCAATTTCAGCTAGATCATCCCATAGTATCAATTTTAGAATATTAAATCTGCACCTGTGTTAGGTATTAGATTTATTTTATCAATCAATAGTTTTACATATAACAGCGAATCAATATAAGCAAATTATCTAAATAATACTTATTACCCATGATTTGAATTTCGCGCTTCTTGCTATAGTTTGCTTGGCATTTACGAACGACCATTGAATTCACCTGTATAATCCCCCCTAAAACATGTGCAAATAATTTGAAATTATATTTTGTCAACCAACAAACCATGTAAATTAAATTACAATGTCATACATACCCATTTGTGTAGTCGTGTCATTTGCATTTGTCACTAATTCGAAGCTGACTAAGTTAAATCTCTTCAAGTTATATATCTCTCGTTTGATTTCTTCAATGTCACTGTTTTGTGTTAATGACATTTCAATTTTGTCATTAACATTTGGGAATCTCGTGTCAATTGGCTTTATACTCCCATCAGCAATTCTGTATGTTTTTTCCTTATCTAGTTTTGCCGCGAATTTCTCAATCAAATCATTGAACAAAATAATTTGAATACTTTCTCCCTACAATTATATTTGAAACCAATTATAATCAATCACATTAAATAGAATGCAAATGAATTTAAAAAGATTCTTACCTCCTTATCAGTAGCAATGAATTTTTGTATCCTGGTTGGATTTCCTTTTCTGCTTGGAAATTTTTTTTCAAGGAATTTTCTAACAATAGTTACGCTTGTCGACCACCCTGTTTGAAATGGGTTCAATTCCGCGATAGATCTAGTTGGCATCTCTGTCATCTAGCTGAAATTTGATAAACAAATTATTATGAAACTATAATAATAATAATTATTATTATTAAAAAACTAAATTAATTGAAAATTAATTACTTACCTTGAAGGATCAAAGTTTGGCTTTTCTCTAGAGTACTTGGCTTCAAGATACCGTAAATGGTAAGTTTTGAGACATTATTTATATGCAAATGGAAAGCCAAACGGATTGTATTGAAATGTATAATAAATTTCTTTTAATTATGAAATTTTAATAAGCCAAACGTATTATGGAATTTTATTAAATCACAATAATGTTAAAACATTTTCATATTTTTCACATTTCTTATGCATTTTAGTTGTATGGAATTTTAATAATTGATTTTAATGATTGTTAAATAATATTAAAACGTTTCCATCTTTTCACATTCCTTCATTGCATTTAATGGTTTTAATTGTATTGATCAATAATTAGACAACATTTGAGTGGGGCATTTTGTTCATATATAAATTAATAAATATTACATGGGCTGATAAAAGTAATTGATAAAAATTATGAGGGCAAAATAGACCTAAAATGAAAAATTGAGAGGGCAAAATAGACCTAAAATGTTTTCTATGATCCTGACATTTTAATATAGTATAGATATAGATATAGATATAGATTATAAAACTGTTATTCATTTCTTATGTTGATATTGAACTAATAGACCTATCGAAATATCAATGAAAATGTCGATAGAAACTTAGGGCCTATTTGATATGCAATTCAACTTTTGTTTCTTGTTTTCATATTTACTTAATCAAATGGATTTAGTGAATATCTGTATAGCAACTTTATTTTAAAAAACTGTTTCTGGATTATATGATCCAAATAATAAAAATTATGAAATATTTTTACATCTTTAGATTTTAAATTTAAAACTTTAAAATGCGGATTTACATTAAAAAAAAATAAAAATTTTGATAAACATATTATATTAGGTTATAAACTCATTTTATTTTTTGTTAAAATTAAAAAAGGTAAAATATAATATAATATAAATTATAGAATATTGTAAAATAATAATTCTTCAAAATTTATAACGTATTTAATAAATTAATTAACATTATTTTACATCGGACTAAATATTTAGTTAATAACTACCGCTAGCTAATTTACAAATATATTACTAAACACACATTGAACAATTTTTAAAATTGAGATTCAATTTTCAAATATGCCACAAAACTCGTATTAAATAAAAACTAAAATAACTCTATTTTTTAGTACAACATGTTAGGGTGGGGATCGAACTCACATATATGTCAAGTACTGCTGAGCTATGCTCCATTTGACTAAAATATAACTCTATTTTTAATTGAATCGTTTATTTTCACATTTCTCTTTTCTTCACATCTCATGTTACCAACCAAATATAGCCTTAGGGTGTGTTTGGAAGTGATTTTGGCATGACCAAAAGCACTTTTGTTATCGACAGAATCATTTTTCCTTCCACTGATCATGTTTGACAAATTTAAAAAATTGATTTTAGGAAAGTTCAAAATCATTTTAAATTGATTTTTAAGGTATCACTTGAAGAATAATTTTTAAAAATCAATTATACTTAAATTTTTTTTCCAAAATCACCAATTTTACCATTATTTTCAAACACAATCTTTATTAACATTGAAGGGTAGCTATACACCTACCGCAGCCATTTCCGTGATTCACATGAGCACGTGACCACCATCCTGATTCCAAAAGCGCTGCTACTCTGATTATGAAACTACCATATTACCCCTAAAGACGAATAGGCAGGTGAAGAAGCAGAGAGACACGTCCCTCCACTATATAAATCTGTAAAAACCATTAGGTCTCCATATTTCTAGATTCTTCCACAAATTCAATCTCTCCTGCACTCTCTTTCAGCTCTCCAAGGGGTGTTCTGAGGTGATATCTCCATTTTCCTCTCTTAGATCCATCGCTTTTTCCTGTATTAGCTCTTTGTTTTGATCTCTTGCCCCTAATTCTTCTCAGTTTTAGCTTAATTTAGTTGTTACCTCAACGATCGGTGTAGTTTTGTCCCGAATTTCGAAATGATGGGATTCGAGTGCTTGTAATATCAGTATGATTTTGTACTCTTTGATGCTCGAGATTGTGTTTGTTGTTTTGTATCGAAATGGATATCGTTGACTGTTGTATTCTTTTATCGTTGTACCGATTTTTGTGAACTTGTTTGGTGATTTTCAATGTTTATGGAACTTCGGAGCTGCTTCTTTACCTGATTCGTGACAGTATGAAACATGCGGGCATCAATTATTGAGTTAATTTTTAAGTCCCTGACGGCATGTTGAATGAATAATGGTCTGTTTGGTACCTCTATATTTTGAGCGAGACGGGTTTCATGAATTCCCTTGCTTGTTATCCCATGAATTAGAATGGTATCTTGTTTTCAATGGGATTTGACAAGATTTCGTAGAATTTCAAAGTAAATTATTTATTTAACTTCTCATATGTTAGTTTTTAATTAATACATTTAGATTAAATTCCTAAATCAGTAAACTTTTTATATTTTTTCTGGCAAACATCCAAACAAAGAAAGTTACTTATATTCATTTAAAACCATTCTCATTCCGGACAAGACAAAGAATTGGAATAAATTCAATTAAAACCATTCTAATTCCAAACAAGATCAAGAATTTAAAAACATTTCTCGAATTACAGATCACAGTATTTAAAATCATTTCTTGGACTTTTTTTTTTTATGCCAAACAGAGTGTAAATGTTTCTCTTAAGCTCCATATTCTTTCATTGATTTAGTGTTTTTGTTATGTCACCTTGTCTAATCTTGTTTAAGGGTGTTAGATCACAGAAAACATGGTGAAGGCTGTGGCTGTTCTTGGTGCTAGCGACGTTGTCAGTGGAACTATCTTTTTTTCCCAAGAAGGAGATGGTAATTTGGTGATGGGTTTCATCTCTACGACTTATATTGCTATTTCTTCTTTCTTGTACTTGATCCGAAATGTTTCAGGTCCAACTACTGTGACGGGTAATGTTTCTGGTCTCAAGGCTGGGCTTCACGGTTTCCATGTTCATGCCCTCGGTGACACAACCAACGGCTGCATGTCAACTGGTATTGTTGGACACATATACAATTTTTTATTTATGTTACCTCTCTATTTTGAATTATGTGGATTCTTCTGAACTATTAAATATAGATACCTTCCTTTATCTGCATTAAATCTTCTAAATGTATTTGTAGGGCCACATTTCAACCCTGCTGGAAAACAGCATGGTGCTCCTGAGGATGAGAATCGCCATGCTGGTGATTTAGGGAACATTACTGTTGGTGAAGATGGTATGTTTCATTCTTTTTTCATAAAATAAATATAAATCTTGCTGGGTTATTCTATTGCCTCTTTTACAACATTTATGTTATATTTGTTTAGGTTATTTTTGTAAGAGTGTGATCTTGTCTGAGATTTCCTTTGAGAAATATATACCTATTTTGATGTTGGATCTGAGTATTGCGTCCTATGATATAGTTGTTGGATGCTCAGTAACTGCTAACACTTTGAATTTGACTGAATTCTACAGGCAAAGCTAGCTTCACGATTACTGACTGTCAGGTTTTTTCGACTGCCCCTGTTTAATTATTCTGTCATTTTTGTATTGCCAGAGGCACCCAATAGTATGGATCTTCCTCCATGTTCTAAGCTTTAGAAATTCATGCAGATTCCTCTCTCTGGACCTAACTCCATTATCGGAAGAGCTGTTGTGGTCCATGCTGACCCTGATGATCTTGGCAAGGGTAATATCTCAAACCATTTGCTGCTCAAGAGTCCTTTTAAATCTTCTTGATAGTATTTGGTCTATATCTGACATATCCCAACCCAAAAGAAACTTATTATCAATTGGCTTAAGGCTGCACCATAGGCAAGTGTTTGGTTCAGGGGAAAATTTTTTAGTAATATTATCCCATGTTTCTTTTCTTTTTTCATTTGAATATTTAGAATGGCAGCAGGGTTCATAAACATGCATGTAGATTATAATACAGCCGATACAGAAAATTGATAGTATGGAGGTGATGAGAACCGACTTTAAGATAGCAGTAAGAAGAATATTGGCTTAAAGTTGTATTGAGATTATATTCCCTTTAATATATACTTACGTTAGTGGTTCATATTATTCAACTTTTTTGGAGTAATTGGGTAGTCTATCCTCCCAAACTTCTGATTTTTGGCATTTCCAACTTTTTAGTCGGTCTTTAGTCCTTACCGCTAAACTTTAACCCAAAAGCTTAAGGTGATAGGTTATTTAAACTTTTGTACATATTCTTAAAATTCTCCACTTTTGGGCTTGGAAATTAGCATAAAACTCTATAAGTGATTATCAAATATTAATTTGGGTAGGGTTCAAACTCAAGTTCCTAGTCTTTGATAGATAGTATATTTAAGCTAACTTTGGGAGGTTTTCCGCTCAAAATTTTCATGTTTGGAAGTGATTCAAAGTAGTGGTTCACATAAAAGTGAAAAACATCTTAAAAGTGATTTGTGAGAAAGAATTTCTAGAGTGCTTTTAGTTGAGTGGATGATTGGGAAGCACTCAAAAGCAGTTTTAGGAGTGTAGGAGCAAACATCAACCTTATTTATTTGAGTATAGCTCTAATTGGTTGAGGCATATATCTCGAACAAAAAGTCGTGGGCTCCACTCAAATACTCAAAAAAATATTATTAAGCATTTTCTTACTGGAGTACTTTTTCTAAAGCACCTAAAAGCATTTGCAAACACACCTTTTCATACATATTATTAACAGTTGCTCTATTCTTGATATCCAGGTGGGCATGAACTCAGCTTGACCACTGGAAACGCTGGTGGCAGAGTAGCCTGTGGTAAGCAAATCTAAACCCTGAAAGATATTACTCTTTTTCTGTCTGTCTTCCATCTCCTTGCCCTTCCAAAGTTGTCTAAGTCTACCATGTATTCTTGAGGATTAACTTTTGTTTTTGTTTTGTTCTTTTTTCAGGCATTATTGGGCTGCAAGGGTGAACTTCATTGCTGTTGTTATCGAAGCATTATTGAGAAAACTAAATCCAAGTGCTCTAGTTCTTCCAGGAAGAGTCCTAAACTCTCGTGAATGAATAAAAATATAGCACTGGATTTGCTTGTTTCGTTTGTTTTGATTAGATGTTTACTTATCCGTGCCTGCTGTCTTATCCTTATATTTCTGGTATTTTTCAGTGTTCTGTTCTGTTTTTGAAATCAAAATCATAAAAATCCCACAATAGAAGCTTCACAGGTTACAATGGAGGAAACTGACTTCTCTTGAGAACCTCAAAACACAGGTGCTTGAGAAGCAATTTCGTGCTGACTTTCTTTTTCCTATTCCTTCTAGTATATGATTAGCCATGGAGTCTTCTTCCAGGATAAGCTTGATTGGTTGGAGAGATTCCGGTTCGACTAGAACTGAACTGAAAATCCTCTAGATAATTATTCCTGGCCCACTCTGCTTTCTTTTGATGACTGAAGTTCGAATCTGTTGCCCACTCCGATTCCCATTCTTTTATGAAAAATATTCTATCGAAGTTGACTTGTGTACAAGCCTTTAATCTAAATCTTGGTCGAACGACCTATATGGAAGAACTCGATTCGAAACTTGATTTGTTAGGAACAAGATTCACGCTGATAGGAAAGAATATTTTGGTAAAAGCCATCCAAGTTCCGACGGTCTCTTTGGAGAGCCATGGATCAATTTTTTTTCCTTCTAATAAATGTAGTGATCTCTAGATCGATATTACAAGAATTGAAAACTCATTTTTTACAAAAAACTCCATAAAAGAGATAAAAGAGAAGACATTCCACAATTCACAAGTATATACCTTCTAAATAGCGTTGCTGGTGTAATTTTTGGTTCCTCGATGTGCAGTTTCATGTTTATAGTCTGTTTGCTGCTAAACAAAATGGTCTTCTGCCGCCTAGTAATTCTTATACCCGCTCGGGTTTCGTCGTTGCTTCTCCTAGCCATTATGTCGCACATTGACACTCGTTGCCGCACTATAGACCGTGCAATGGCGTGACTTTGTGCAATGACTTGTCTTGACGTATTTTGTCCGTTTGTGTATAAATAAGTGCTCATTTCCTCAATTCTCTACGCTTCCCATTCGACTTCTCTCTGTTCCCTACCCATTATAGTGCGACTTATAGTGCATTTTTAGAGTCAATACTTGAGCAGCGAACAGTACATCCATGAGTCTAAAATTATGCCAAATGGAGATTGATTAAGCATTGGGAATTATGGAAGAAGTGATTTTTCTTGACCTTTTTTTGTGCGTTTGAAGCAAAAACGTTGAAAAAAATCTTTTTTCTTGTAGTGTCAACACATACATATAACATGTATATTGGTAACGTATATCAAGGACTCATATTAGAGGTATATCAAAGGTTCATAGCATCACAGATATATCAAAAAGGTATATTAATAATATATATCAATCAGTGGTATATCAATACACACGTATCATATGTAGATCAACAAGGTAATGAGTTGAGGATCTAAATACAAAATTAATATTCGTCGAGACATTTGGCAACCTAGAAATAAAAATCATATAAATAAATATAAAACTTGTAAAATATAAACAATTGACAAAGTTACAAAACAATTAAAAATACACATCAAACTAACTGTAGTCAATTGTTGCATGTTTATTTTCAATAGCTACTATCTCCTTGCGTTTCTTCTCAAGACAATGCTTACTCGTCTCATTCTTTTGACGTGGAGAATCCAAAATATGGCATAACCTGATTCATAAGTTATGCTTTCAATATATTTTTCTTTGTTATTTGTTTCAATCTCTTTTAACTATGTGAGTACCATCCATTTTCATTATCTTTTAACATGCTTTTCAATACTTTTTAAGTCCTTATCTAAAATATCTTCAGCCATTTTAGCTGTCTCGTATGTCAAGACACCTTTAATAGCAAAATGAATGCCTTTAATTTCTACATAACTTAGTTCATCTTAAAATTCCCTTTCCCTTTGGTTGTTAACCGTTGTTAGGTTAACTACTTCATCATCATTGTTTCTCCCTAATTCATTATTCACATATTTTTTCTCTCTCCTTAAATTATGTCGTGGAGGGATAGAAAAAATGTTAGAGAAAATTTAGAACTCTTAAAGTGTGCAAACATAAGATGCTCACATATTCAAATTTCTTACATTTATAGTCTACAAATTGAATAGAATTCATGAAATTCACAAAGTACTCTTTCTTATCACAAATTTTCACTAACTTAATTAGTGAAATGATTTACATCAATATTGATACTTTCAATACCTACTGATAAAGATTAAAACCACTCATCTATTATTAAAATTTGTATGACACTCTATATATGCTTATTGGATCATGCCTCTAAATAAACTTGTCTAGCAAGATATAGTTTAATTACATGGGAAATCTTTAATCAACTTAGATTTAAAAAAAAAAAAAATTAAGCAAGATAGAATGTGGATATCATACTCCGAAAGACATTATTCATGCTGTCAAGTTGGATACCATTTTCTTTGTAACCCAAAAAATATTGTCATAAACTTTGAGACAAATAAATAAGGGTTATAATTGATTTCACACATCTTCGAACGCTTGTTCAATCTCAAAATTGTAAGGACATCTATTGAGTAATTTTTTGAAATTCTTAAATAATGATCAAATAAGATGTTTATGAGTATTTTGACCAATATGTCATAAATAAAGTTGGCGTTGAGTCTTAGAAAATACATTTTCAATTGCATTTGTCACTACTTGACATTGATCTGTAAATATGACATTCCATTACTAGTAGAAAGAGTTCAAATAACAAAACTAAAGTTTTCGTTGTCTCATCCAAGAAAAAGGTACAACTAAACAAGATACTTTGCCTATGACGGTTCACTCTAGTAAAAAATTGTACATATTCCTTTTTTTTTTTTGAAAACTTGTACTTATGCATTTATTTGTTGGATATGTGGTATAAAAAGTAACATCCCAAAATAACTATAATCAATCCTATCGTATATCAAAAAAAAAAAAAAAATTGTTTGATGGTTTTCAGAATCCACTTGAATAGTTTAAAAGAATTATGGGTCCTTTAATTGCATTCTCTTGAAATGATTATTACGTTGTGTGCATTTCTAACTTCAAGTATAGTTTTTCATTTAATATCATAAAAAGTTGTTGCGGGCTTCAAAAATCCTACAGGGTAGGTACTGTTCGAAAGGAATTTCTGAGAAGATAAACTCGAATCTAATGAAATTGTATTTGTATTTATATATGTAGTGTTACTATGTAATACTTTAATGCTTTCTCTATGTTGGAAACTTGATTTGAGGGCTAATAGCATGTTTCGTATCAAGAAGATTGGTGCCTTCAACTTCTAGCTTGTTGAAGATCTTCCGCATGTTGATGAAGTTTTTCTACCTGTAGTTTGATGAAGTTTTTCGACTTGTTGAAGAAGTTCTTAGGCTTGTAGTTTGATGAAATTCTTCGGCTTGTTGAAGAAGTTCATAGATTTTTAGCTTGACAAAGTTCTCCAGCTTGTTAAAAAGGTTCTTAGGCTTGTAGCATAATTAAGTTCTTCGGTTTGTTGTGGAGTGCTTTGGCATGTTGAAGTTCTTCGACTTGTAGTTTGATAAAGTTATTCGGCTTAATGAAGAAGTTTCTAGGTTTGTTGCTCGACAAAAATAATATTCAATTTCTTGAAGTCTCGTAGTCTTCGATTATTTTAGCTTTAAGTCTTCACGTCTTCAACACTCTGATTGGCTTTAGATGTCTGCCTGGCTCTGAAAGCTTGTGGACGATTTGAATCATCTACTTGGCTATAAATCTCAATGTTTTTTGAATCATAATGACCTCAAGTAACAGGTGACCTCCTCTGTTTATAGAATTTCATTGAGATTTATGTGGGTTGATCACATGTAAATTTATGATTGGTCCAAAATTTAGAAATATATAATTTTGTCATTAACTTAAATAATGACATAACACTTAATAAATTGGTCAACTGGCACAACAAATAAGAGAATATACTATTGGGTCTAATGCCAACATTTTTCACTGTTTCAATTACAATTGCATGTGCTTCAATCGTGTCTATGAGATTCAGCATATCTTGGTGAATTTCTTTTGCAAGTTCATGATTATGATCCCAAGAAAAGTGAGAATAACCTATTCTCCCTTTTCAATCGTAAATTCTGTTTTTGCGGAACATCCTATACTTGTCTCTAGTCGGTTGGCATTTTTTACAAGGATCATTCAATTTTCTATGACCTTCCTTCGAACAAACAATTGATCTTTACCTTATAGTTTCATCTTCCGATCATCGATACTGGTTTTTTTTTCACATTAAAACTACTTGTTTTTTCATATTCATTATAAATTTTGAATGTCTCATCTTCACTTGAAAACAACATTCCAATCTTTGATATATGCACCTCAGGCCTAAAAGTAATGAGTATTGTCTTCTTTATCTCTACTTCATTTTCTACTTAAACTGAGTTTATGTCAATATCACACCTACATTATTTAGAATAATTAACTTATGGTAACTATATAAAGAAAAAGAATAGTTTCTATGTTCAATGAGGTAAAGAAAACTCACTTATTTGTAGTTGTTTTGGGCTAGCCATTGATTTAGCAGCAAATTTTTTAAACTAAACCTAAAGTTTAAGAATAATGTAACTTAAAATGACAAAAAAAAAGTATATATGTATTTATAATCAAAATTCATGAAAATTATGAATGAAAGAGAATTAAAAAAAAAACAAAGAATTAAACATAACATACTTTAAGATTTATAGATTTACTTTTTCACGTGGAGACGAATAGATCCAAATATTTTTTCCGTATTCAAGAAAAAAGTAGGAAAAAGGAAAAATATATGAAAAAGTCATGCTAAATGAAAAGAAGGAAGAAATTTGGATAAAAAGGAGAGAAATGTGCAAATGAAAATAAATGAAAATAAAGGAGAATAGACATTGAAGTTGTAAAAAAAAAAATCAAATAACAATGAAGAAATTAAAAAAAATAGTCACGGTTGGAGGCAATTTATAGACTTAGGGGAATCATATAAGAAGATTTGACAATATCAGCTTGGTGTCTAAAGTCGAGTTGAGCTACATTTTACCTACCAATTGATCTATGTCAGGTACGAGCTGAAGTTAAAAAGTATTCGCGGGCGCATAGATGGTAGACAAGTTCTTCTACACAACAGCTCGGTCCTAGGTTGTCAAAAGCTCGCCTCTACAAATAGAGAACC